CTTTCTCTTTCTTTTTCTCGCCTTTTTTCTTCTCCTTTCTTTACCTTCCCCCTTTTCACACCATTTCTGTCCCGTCTCTTTTTTCTTTCTTTTTTTTCTTCTTCGATTTCCTTTTCTTTCCTCTTTTGCCTTCTCTTCATATCTATGTTTTTTCCCTCTTTCTCTTATCTTTTTTCTCTTCCCTTATTTTTCTTATCTATCCCTCTTTCCTTTGCTCTTTTTCTTTTTGTACTTTCTCCATAGTCTTCGCTTTCTGTTTTCCAATTCTTTTATTCTCCTTCCTTTTTTTTTTCTTTCGTTTTCTCTTTTGCTTTTTCCTCACTCTTTCTTATGTTTCTTTTATTTTTCTCATTTTCTTGTCGACTTATCTTCCCAGCTTTTCTTTCTCTTTTCTCTTTTCCTTTTCTTTTTTTTTATTCTTTGCTTTTTTGCGGCTTTGCCTCTCTTTCTCTTTTACATCTCTTCTCTCCATTTTTTTCCTCAACGTTTTATCTATTAACACCTCTTCCTATCTTTTCTCATATCTAACTGCTTGTCTTCCTCGTCTTTCATTTGTTATACTTCCACTTTAAACTTCGTAAACACAATTTTGATCTAATAAACATTGTGCATAGCTTTTGCCTTCATCTAACTTCAGATAATTTGGCCATCTATAATTTTTATCAGAGGAAAACAAAAAAAATTGAAGTTCGTGAGACGATGCCAGTTTCAACACACCGTTTCATTCACGAAGCACCCGCAGAGCAAATTGATCCAAGTTAACAAGACTGGCGTTGGAGTGACTCCACTTTAACGAGGGATTAAAAAAAAAAAAAGTGTCCCCTGTCTTTCTACAATAAATGAACTTTAAGTGACCTCGACTGTGTCAGCTAGACTCAAGGCAGCCAATTCCAAGTATTTTTTCAAAAGATGACGTCGATGCCTTTTATGCTGGAGTGTGTTGGTAACATACCCTTGATGTAAAGTTTCCAATCCATTCTGTGGTTTTTGTTTCTCTTTCTTGCTACTAATCGCTCCAGTATTCACTCACTTTCTCTCTTTCATCTCCTTCTCTCATTTTTTTCTTTTAGCAAGACATTCTTAAATTGTTTTCGTGTCTATATTTGAAAATTTCCACTTGCATGACTTCAAAATCCGTTGAAGCGATGATTGTCTCATTAGTGAAACTTCATTCATTAATATCCACAAAAACTGGATATTATAAATTAATAAATATATTGCTTTGTCTGGGATAGATATACAGAGTAACCCGGATATAAGAGAGTTGTCGGGACCGGAGAAGAAGTCTCTTATATCCGGGTTTCTCTTATATCCGGGTTTGGTCTATTTTATATACATTAACACAGGCTCTAATTTGGGACCAGAGAAAATCTCTCTTATATCCGGGTTTCTCATATATCCGGGTTACACTGTATCTTTCTTTTTTATGTGACGTAGGCGATCATTACCCTCCACATCTTCCTGTCCCTTATAGCTCTTAATAAGTTTTGTATTTTTGTTATTTCTTTCAAATCCTGTTCCGCCATCCATTTGCTTCCAACCCATCAAGTATATTACACGTTGATTTCCTCTTTCCCTCTACACGTCCTGTGAATATCAGATTTTCCAAGCCCTCCTTCCTCATTACGTGCCTCAGAAATTTCAACTGCATCTTCCTGATGTTAAGTATAAGTTCCCTCTTTATTTCCATTCTTTCCAATATCTGGCCCATGGTATCCTTAGCATCCTTCTGTAGAACCACACTTTGGTTGCTTTTGCTTCGCGTCTCTTTTTCATCCTTGAGGAGATTGTCTAACAGGTAAATTTTGGTTTTCTTTCCCGAGCGCTAATATCCCTTAAAATTTTTCCCAAATCGTCATAATTCCGTGCAAATGTACATACTGAACTCGAATTAACAATTAAATTACAGTGTAACCCGGATATAAGAGACCCGGATATAAGAGAAACCCGGATATAAGAGAGATTTTCTCTGGTCCCAAAGTGTTCCCATACTTACCTAAACAAAATAGACCAAACCCGGATATAAGAGAAACCCGGATATAAGAGACTTCTTCTCCGGTCCCGACAACTCTCTTATATCCGGGTTACACTGTATGAAGAAACCTTCATAATTTTGGAGTTATCAACAAGAAAAAAAAAATCGGACTTCTTGTTAGTCATTCGTCCCCCATTACTGCCATCATGATTACTAATTCACTGCGTAGTACCTACGCAGGCGTAAGCAGAAAAATTGGCCTATTTACTTCTTTTACTGACTTTCCTTACAGAAAATCACTACGCACTACCGTAAAGAAATGTAATTTTTTTTTTTTGCTATTCAAAACGGAAAAAAGTTTCTGTTGTATTATTTAATTTGTTTTTGTTATAAATAAAACTACACTTACCAAAAAACTCCTAGTATCTATCTATCTATCTATCTATCTATCACATTCTGACCCTATCTTTCTGTCTATGGAAAATACATACATCTATATATTAGACACATCACGAGGAATCTAATGAAAAAATAGGAAAACTCCTAACATGTAGAGGGGAGAGACGTCAAAAGATTTAAATTTTAAGTTGAGGGCATTGGCGTAGCTAGGATGGGGGGGGGGCGGACCGCCCCGGGTGCCAGCACAGGAAGAGTGACACAATGTCACCCCAACAACTTTTTTCAACCAGGCTAAGGTGCCAAAAATAGTCTGAAAACAGTGGTGGAGACACAGGGTTTCGCAGGCGGGCATATGACTCCCCAGAAATAATTTATGACCCCCCCAGTTTTGTCCCCACGTCAGAAATTTTCTAATAAATTGTCGGGAAATTTGTGCGCAGGAAAAATAGCAATGTTTTCAGCTTTTGATTTCAACTGATTATTTTGTGGTATTGGATTTTGTCTTGGATCATACATGTAAACAGTAACGAACCGGTCAGTAGAGTAAAGTAGAGGTAGAGCATGTATGAAAATTTAGCTACAGCTAACCATTCAGCATAGGGGGAATCGGGGTCATTGGGGTGACATTTGAGCGGACCGCCCCGGGTGACGTTTACTCTAGCTACGCCACTGGTTGAGTGTCCCTGTGTCTTTAACAATTTCAATATTAAATTTTAACAAGCGTTTGTTTTATTTCTCACCACCCACTGAATATATCAGATTTCTAAAATTATTATTAGTCTGAAGAAGTATGAACTGTGAGAGTTAAATCAGAGGAAGATCAGCTGCCAAGGCTCTGATCATCCGTATATTTTGGATGTGGTATCATATATGCAAATGATACTACGGTGTATAGATGCCCCTCCAAATATTTCGATGACCATTGCCTGGCAACTGATCCCTCTTCTGATCTAAGCAAAACAAATGTTAATTCAAATAATTATATTGAAGTTTTCGGCTCTTGTTTTGAAACATGAGAACTCTTATGTAGCGTGTTGGAGTCATATTTTTAAATAAATAAATAAATAGTTGAGCTCCCTGGGGAGGAGATGTGGGTTGGTAAACAGTGACTATTATAGCTATATAGCGAGACTCTTCGCTAATGCGAATTGAATCACTCCCGGTCACTGGGCGTGTTTATAAAGATAAACACGCTAAAAATCCACTTTCCTCCCTACCGTGCGCCGATGGCTTAATGGTTAGAATCTCCGACTAACACCAGTTCAGTCGGGTTTCGACCCAAGCTGGATGTCTAGCCACACTGATGAGCTGCGAAACAGTCTGTCTGTGGATGACGGTATATATATATATATGTGTGTGTGTGTGTGTTTATATTGTATATATATGCATATATGATTATATATACTGTATGCTGTATATATACAGTGTAGTATATATTTATTTATGCTATATATACGTGTTTATAGTATTTACATTATGATCATGACTACTGGTATTATAGTGGTTTATAACACAAAAATAAACACTTAGCATCTATGAATAACCGGCTTTAAGGGGATTCTATTAGTCCGTTTAGGAGAGTTTGCTCTGTCATTAAGTATTTAGCAAGTGGAATTTGTTACGAATGCGGTAAATCGGTTGTCTCTTTGGAGCTTCAGTATCAAATGTTTGAACCCATTTTGTTCCAACGGTTTCAGTATTTTGAAACACCCAAGAATGTTTGAACAAACATTTTCTCGCATCAGTGTTTGAATTATTTGCCAATATGGGTTCTCTGAACTATCTGAAAAGAGAAAAAAAGATTAAATTTAAATTTAAAGTTATAAAATTTAATATAACACAAACACCATAGTAATAATATAACCCTATTCAATCTACTGTCAACCTATATTTGCTTCACCCTTGTATATATATATATATATATATATATATATATATATATATATATATATATATATATATATATATATATATATGTCTGTGTGAGTTAAAATAGCACAGCGTTAGTATTTGAATTTATTTTGAATAAATGAATAAGTATTAAACTTTTTAACCACATTAGCTAAAAAGACTTCATTAGCTTTATTGCAATTTTCTACTTCTTATTTATTTGAATTAGACTTCTCAACCCTAAATAACATCCAAAATAAAAAGCGAGGAAGACTACCCTCAACTGAAGAAGAAAAATGAGGGTCTGCTTATGGGTTTATTTTATTACCACAGAAAGTATTATTAAAAGAGAGAAAGAGTGTATAAAATGAAGAGGTAAAAAGGAGAGTGAGAAAAAAGAGTAGAAAAAGAAGAAAGAAAAATGGGAAAAAAAGTTGTAATATGAAGAGGAAGAAAGGAAGATTCGAAGTAGAAAAGAAAGAAGAGAGGTGGATAGAATTATTCAGAATAGAAGAAGAATATAAAATGGAGGGAAGAACAGAAAAAGAGGAAGAGAAAGCAAAGCAAAAGAGAGGGAGAAAAGAAAGCGAGAATTATATAGTGTGACTAAAAAGTGAAACCTAAGAATGCAAAGTGAGGGTGGGGGAGAAAAGAAAATGGAGGAAATAAAGAAGAGGCGAGGGAAAGAGAGAGACGATAAACTATTAGAATGGGAACAAGGAAGGAGAAAATGAAGTTAAAGAAAGAAAAGGCGAAGAAAAGAAATAAACGAGAAAGTATCATTCAAAAGGAGATGAGAAAATTAAAATAGATAATCACATTTTTTCCTTTTTTTTTTTTTTCCTTTTTTTTTCTTTTCTCAATTTTTCAAACCACTGGCATGCGCACGCGCAAACCCATCTGCTTGCAAATAAAAAAACAAAAACGCCAGTTATGAGTGTGACATCTGTCGTTCTCGTGAGACTATAGATCTGTACCTAAAGAGTTATGTCCCAGCTGCTGATCATCTGTTATGGGTGTACAGACCCACACATGAGTGACAGTCTCGATTGCAACGAATGCATCTGAAGACGCTCTACCCCGATATCGTCGGGTTTGTTTTTTTTTCTTTCCTTCTCCCCGGCGGCAAGCCTTCGTTTCTTCTCCAGTCCTCGGTGTAAACAGCGTCTCCAATATGAGCGATCGTTGGCGACATCTTACCACCTCTCGATGGCCACGTCCATCGCTCTCAGGTCCCTTTTGCTGAAGTCCTTGAAGCGAAGATGAGTGGAGCCAGTTGCAACTGTAGTATAACAACAGGAATTTGGGTTGGTCATTGGATTTCTTTTCTTTTCTTTCTTTTTTTTTTTTTTTTAAAGAAATCGTTTTAATGAAATTTAAATGCTTATGTCATTGTGTCGGGTTATTTCAACTCCATTAAAAAAAAACTTTCAACATTTCAAAAGACAACAAAATAAATAAATAAACGTTTTTTGATCTGAATTTGAATAATTCTTTTTTTTTTTTTTTTACACTTTTCTATTTTCTCTTGACTTCAGAAAAATGATCGGTCGAGCTGGGAAAATATTAAACTACTTATATTATTTACATTATTCGGACTGTTATCCCTATCTTCATTGCCATATTCACATCGCTTCGGCCGTTGTACGCTCCGGCCTTCTTCAGGGGACTGGAATTTCGAATCGAACCCTTTATTTCGCCCACTGGGGTAGATTGTTCAAGTTCCACGTGCCATGCCTCTTCCGGATGTCTCAGTTATTTCCTTTTAACTCAACTCTCCTAGTTTGATTCACCACTGCTGTGACCTGGTATTGAACTCACAGCTCTTTGGGTCTAGTCGCTGGATCTAACCAACTGACGTGTTTTCTAACTTTCGATAGGGCGGACTTGAGAATAACAGGAATTAACAGGTGGTTTCATACCCCCTTAAAATCTCCAATCTACCGGATGAAGTTTATCGTCATACCCAAGACACAGTAGTTGGCCACTCTTATCCGAGGATTCCCGTCTATGCAAACACCTGCTCAGGCCAATTTGCTTTTGTTTAAGAGCATAGGATTAATGATGAGCGTACCTTAGTTACAGTTTCTGGGAGATATCAACTGTCTGAACAAGGCCAGCACGCTCAAACCATCGGTCACGATGACTTCTAACTTCACGCTAACACAACCAGCGACGGTTCTCCAAGGTTTCCTCCTACCCAATTTCATTCACAAAGGCTTGGGTCAAACCGTGGTATGGTTTTCAGACACTTTTCAAAGGTGCCGCACGCTAGGATTGACCCTTCCAGACCGATAACATCCTGACAAATCGACCCTGTTGAGATTCGAACCCAGCAGAAAGCGAACGTTCTAACCACGTAACAATATGCACAAGACATACATATACACATACATATACACATACATACACACATACATATACACATACATACACACATACATATACATATACACATACATACATACACATACATATACACATACATACACACATACATATATATACACATATATACACATATACATACATACATACATACACACATACATATACACATACATATACACATACATACATACATACATACACACATACATATACACATACATACATACATACATATACACATACATATACACATACATACACACATACATATACACATACATATACACATACATACATACACACACATACACACATACATATACACATACATACATACATAAATACATACACATACACACATACATATACACATACATATACACATACATACACACATACATACACACATACATATACACATACATACATACATACATACATAAAGAAAGAACGAAAGAAAGAAAGCGCTGAACCTTTGACACCAAGCAACGTCAGAACATCGTTAAACACTTCATTGAGTACGACTAACCAGTCTGATCGGTATCCAGTATGCACCTTCTTTACTTTCTTGTACGACAAGAGTAGAGCGCTTATCGTCCAGTTCACACTCCTCTCCTAACGCCTGAACTCTGAATTTTTACTCACTATTTATTTCTTCTCTATAGGAGTTGATAGGTCCACCTATTGTCCAGTTCACAATCCTCCTCGGTCTTATGAACTGGAGTAGAGGTTTATCCCTTGTTTCCTGTTAAGGATTGGGTTTCCGGTTCCTTCTAAAGTCTTCATTAACTTTAAACAACAGATCCTGTTTTTTTCTTTTGACCGATTAGACAGGAAGAAATAG